TAAAACGATTCTCGAGTTTTATAAAACGATTCTCGAGTTTTATAAAACGATTCTCGAGTTTTATAAAACGATTCTCGAGTTTTATAAAACGATTCTCGAGTTTTATAAAACGATTCTCGAGTTTTATAAAACGATTCTCGAGTTTTATAAAACGATTCTCGAGTTTTATAAAACGATTCTCGAATTTTATAAAACGATTCTCGAGTTTTATAAAACGATTCTCGAGTTTTATAAAAAGATTCTCGAGTTTTATAAAACGATCTTTGAGTTTTATAAAACGATCTTTGAGTTTTATAAAACGATTCTCGAGTTTTATAAAACGATTCTCGAGTTTTATAAAACGATTCTCGAGTTTATAAAACGATTCTCGAGTTTTATAAAACGGTATTAATCATTTTGTAAAATGATTTTGCGGAAAATAATGACTCCATCTTTTACGGAAGCTATCGCAGACGTTGATTTCGAGATTACGGTTTTCGACACCAAGAGGAGCGTTACAGATTAATGAGAAAGAAGTTAAAATTTTTCTGTCCATACACCTCTCTATATAAACAAATGGGTTGTTGTTCTGGTTTGATGTACCATAGTTGAAGGTGTTGACCTCGTCTCAAAAATTTAAACAAATTCAGTAAAAACATTATATAAATAAAAGTAAACACAAGATAACAAAAGCAATTAAAGGGCATTATTTAAACAAGTTGAATGCTAATGCCCTTCATTTTCATCAGGTGTACACCGATGAACATGCCCTTTTTCTTACATTCTCAAATGACTTTCCCTTGTCGGAAATGCAAATTCTCAATTACTTTAACGGGTATTATGGACCATATGTCGAAGGAGTGAATGTGCACACGCCTAGGGAAAGAAGTGGGCATCCTTGTTTGGAAAAATTGCTTTTACGCATTCCAGCCTTACTGATGCAAAGCCATGGAAAAATATATTTCATAGTGGAGGGCCGCCATCTCTCCTGCAAAAGGTTCGTTAGCCAAGCCGACTAATCCCGCAGCCACCGCGAGTAACAACAGTTCTGATGATGGTACCCACTCCAATGGTGAAGAATGATCATAGGCGTTTATTAATTAAAACTCTTTGGGTTGTTGTATCACTCGAATGGGTTTTAATTGCACCAAGCAAGAATCAACTTGTTGTTTTTGAGTTTAATTAATAAGGGTGTAAATGTTTGTTATGTGAGAACACATGTCGGAGATGTCTGTCTCTGTTCAGATATTGTTTGAAATGTTTTTACTTTTGATTTTTCTGTGAAAATAAAAGATAGTATTAAAAGAAGAAAAATACCAAAGGATATCACTAAAAGGTTTTGATCATAAACATATCTCACAATGGTGAAGATAGTTTTCATTTTGTAAATTATACTTATACCTCTAAGATTAACTAATCTTGACTTGTAATTAATATTTTAAGGGGTTAAGTTTTGTAGGGGGAAGGGAGTGGGATTTATGATTTAAAAAACCTCCGGTTTTAGATTAAATAGTTTCAATAGAAATTTAGGATTTAAAAATATAATTTAAAAAAAAATCGAAAGTATGAAAAAAAAGAAAAAACTCGAATCGAAAAAGTATTTTTGAAAGTATTAAATTTTTATTATTATTCATTTAAATATTTATTTATATTCTTGTATCTATAAATTAAAGGTACAAATGTCATTTACCCCTTTAATGAAACATTTTATTTGTCATTTTCTTCATTGGGTGTTATTTTGGTAAACAAAAAACATTTGTAATGCCTTTTGGTAGATTTGCCTTTAAAAAAAAATCAAATACAAAAAAAAAAGAAATCTTAAAGAATATATATATTTTAAATATTATCTCTTGATTTTTGAAATTCAGCTAGTTATAATAGGTTTAATAAAAAATTTCAGACCTTTTTCATATATTTAGTTGGCAAAGTTAATTAGTGCCCAATAGATTTGTTCCTTTTTGACCGCATTTTTATTTTCTTTTAATCACATATTAGATGTTTTCCTGCGAATTTACTGATACAAATAATTCTAAGTTTAATAGAATATAATAACTTTATGTTATTATAAGCAATAAGCTTATTTTCAAAAATTAGAAGTTTATAATAATTTTATGTTAGTAGCAAGTTTTTTTTATGTGTTTGCTCGCGATTTCTTATTTCATGTTATTAGCAAGTTATAATTATATTATGAATGACTTTCAACATTCTAAGTATATTTGCTAAAAATAATATTACATAATTGTGGGTGTCGAAATCCACCTACTGTCAAATAATCGTAAAAAAGGAAACTCCGGGAAAACCCTAAGTTTCCAGAGGAACCGGCTATCTGCAGAACCGCACAACGAAGATTAAGATAACGATAAACTTAGAATTATTAAAAGAATAAACGAAAATCGAGAGCAAAGAGGTTTTTATTTTGAATCTGCGTAGAACTGGTACAAAAAGAGTGGCCGAAAAGATTAAGAACGAAAAACCCTAGTTGAGACGCAGCTCGCTAACAGAAAACGAAAATATTCCTAATTGCTAATTTTTGGTAGTGAGAGCTCTGAATTTCGTGTCTCTTGCTTCTGCCCTAGACCCCTTATTTATGTACTCCTCGCCTTGGCCATCCGGTCTTTCCATTTCGCCCAAATTTGACTATATCGGGAATTTTCCATTTTTCTCGATCCTTCCTTTTCTTCCGCGGAAATCTTCTATTTTTCTTCAAACCTTCCTTTTATCTTCAAACTTGACTTTTATTTTCCTCCTGCGAGTAAACCGTCAAAACGTTATCAAATCTGCGGGTTAGATTCCGTTAAGATCGCGAGATGGGTTTTTATCGCGTTTTAGGCCCTTCCGGGCCGTTTTGCGATAAATCCGTTTTCCGACTCTTTACGGGTTTGTTTCCTGATCTGACGTCGTTTTAAATAAATTCCTCGAGCTAATCGTAAGGTTTTACGATTTACTAGACTTTTTAATTAAAAACGCGTTTTTTACGATTTACTCGAAGTTTTTATTAAAAACGCGTTTTTTGTGATTTCGACGAGAAATCTCGAATAAATCGTATGTTTTAGGCAATGTTCGATGTTTCGTCAACCGTCGCTGTTTTATACGATTTCTTCGAGTTCTTTATCGAGGAAGCGAAGTTTTACGGTTTTTATCGTAAAACTCGAACGATAGGTCGGATCGAGATGGAACGGGAGATGTTTCGGCCGTGGTTCAGAATGCGACCATGTCGAAAGACATAAGTTTCAAATCGGGAATGCGGGAGAACGAGGCTCGGGACGTCCAGGAAGTTTCTAGTTCGCCGATGGGCGAACTAGTCGAGTAATCCTAGTTCGCCCATCGGCGAACTAAGCCGGGCCGGCTTAGTTCGCCGATGGGCGAACTAGTTAAGCATCTCCTAGTTCGCCCATTGGCGAACTAAGCCGGGACAGCTTAGTTCGCCAATGGGCAAACTAGTCGAGTGTCTCCTAGTTCACCCATTGGCGAACTAAGCCGGCTCGGCTTAGTTCGCCAGTCGGCGAACTAGTCGTGACTAGTTCGCGTTTTACGGCTGTTTCGGTTTTTTGCGGTTTCGTAAAACGATTCTCTAGTTTTATAAAAGGATCTCCGAGTTTCATAAAACGATCTTCGAGTTTTATAAAACGATTCTCGAGTTTTATAAAATGATGCTCGAGTTTTATAAAACGATTCTCGAGTTTTATAAAACAATCTTCGGGTTTTATAAAATGGCTTCTCGAGTTTTATAAAATGATTCCTCAAGTTTTATAAAACGATCTTCAAGTTTTATAAAACGATTTCTCCAGTTTTATAAAACGATTCTCAAGTTTTATAAAACAATCTTCGGGTTTTATAAAATGGCTTCTCGAGTTTTATAAAATGATTCCTCAAGTTTTATAAAACGATCTTCAAGTTTTATAAAACGATTTCTCCAGTTTTATAAAACGATTCTCGAGTTTTATAAAACGATTTCTCGAGTTTTAGAAAACGATTTCTCGAGTTTCATAAAACGATTCTCGAGTTTTATAAAACGATCTTCGGGTTTTATAAAACGGCTTCTCGAGTTTTATAAAACGGCTTCTCGAGTTTTATAAAACAGTCTGCGAGTTTTATAAATGACTTTGAGTTTTATAAAACGACTCTTCGGGTTTTATAAAACTATTTCTTTTATATTTTCACGGGGAGTTTTGGCTATTAATTCCGTCGTACCGATTTTGACCCCAACAGTTAGCCCCCCAGCTCGTAAGAATCGTAAGGTTCTTGTGAGTGGATTGAGCTCGTTTGGCGAGTTTGGTAAAATTAGGCGGAACTTTAATGGCCAAAAGTCCAAAGGTGGATTAAGGAAGAAAGACTCGTTCCTCAACTAGTTCCAATTTCCACAATTATGAGGGAACGAGTTCGAAGCCTCCAGCTTCGGTTCCGAAAGAAGAGTATTCGTCCCCGTTAATCGATCGGGCGGACCTCGAGGCTGTTTGGGCGTTGGGAGACGAGTCGGGATCCGCTAGTCCTGGGATTTGGGTTCCAGCCTTGTCGGACGTCGATCAAGTTTCCGGAAATCCGAGCTCGACACTTTTCAACAGTATCGATTACATGCGCGAATTTTGCCGAGTTCTAGAGGCCGTTGAGTTTCGTTCCCCACTTGCCGGGGAGAACGACAGGGATGCGCCCGACGGTTTTTCACATGTTACAACATTTTCTTGCAACAATGCCACTTATGGGTTCCGATTCCGGAAATCATTGTGCATTACCTTCACAAGCTGGGGCTATCGATCAGTCAGTTGACTCCCCCTAGTTTAAAGCAACTCGTCGGTCTTTTGACGCTGAGTTATGAGCAGGGAATCACCCTTAACGTCGATCATCTCGAGGGTCTGTGAAAGCCCACGGGTGCATCGCGGAGGATCACTCTATGCCCTCGTGACGAAATTGCTACGGGCTTCCCAACGCTTTCTACTTCTTGGAAGAAAAATTTCTTTTACGTTCGTATCGACAGTGCGTCGGTCGAGGAGGGTAGCATTCCGTTTTTTACGACCACGTGGGGTCGGAGAGGTATGTGAATCGAGTTCACAAGAATCCTCTTCTTCTTATTATTATTTTTATTCGTTTTTGTTTTTCTGCAGTGACCAACCCTTTGGCTCCGTATCCCGCGGATCTCCAGAGCATCACCACTTCTCTCAAACGTGGTGAAGTTGGTTGGTGCTGTTTTTCTCCGCAACGCGTCCGCCAAGCGGTTTCCCTCTCTGTGAATTCTCCGGTCTATGAAGAGGATCCGTTTATTGGAGAGTTTATTCCGTACGTTCCCTTGATGAGGAGCGGCAGATCAAGCTTCCGAAGGGATAAAAATCCGGTTGTCGAAGATGATGATTCTGAACGCGCGACTTCTCCTGACAATATTCTCAAGGATTTTCTTGATAGTCAGACGGAAGAAGGCGTCTGGACGAAGGCGGGCGGATCATCGACCTCCCATTTTCCGGACATCGACCATGATCAAGTCCCGGAATTTATTAGGGGGTCTGAGAAAGCTAAGGAGGTACGTGTGTTTATTGTTTTCTCTTTCGAACAGTTTTTATGATATCGCTTAATCCTTTTCTTTTTGGTAGGGTTTCCTTATCATGAGCCGAGCCCTAGACAGCCGTACCACTGAAGCTCGCCTTGCCGAGTTTCGGGCGAACATGGCAGACAAAGATTTTGCTCGTCTTAGGGCAGAGGTCGAGGCTAACCAAGCCGAAGAAGTGGTTGCGAGGGAGGTTGCTCGTGTGAGGGATGAGTGTGCGGCTAGGTCTCGTTGTGCAAAGGAGCTTTCTGACCAAAGGATTCGTCGTGCCCGTCGTGCGGGCAAACGAGAGGTTGCTGAGGAGATGAAGGCTCGTCACGAGCGATTTGCAACCGGTTGTTCGGATGCGGAAGTTGTTCAACGAGCGCATGGTGACTATTGCGAATGTCGCGGGATCGTTCATGGGTTATCCCTAACTCAGAATGAAGGGTATTCGTTCACTAAGGAATTCTCCGCGCGGCGGA